AATCATCATGTGTAGACATGATTTCATTAAATGTCCAGCATACTAATCTGTTCAAACCGTGAACATAATTTTTCAGATGTCTGTGGCCATCAACGCCAAGATCTTCGAGAAGCACCCCAACGATGACAAGATGCCGATGCTGAAGTGTACTCTGGCTGTAAGATTGTTTTAGTTATATATGTCTGCTTCTTTCTTCTTCGAATGAATTAGGAGTTAACTCTTAACTAATAAATACAGTAAATCTGACAGGCAAGCATAATTGCTAGTGATGAACAACTAGGCGATTGTTTGATGCAGGACAAGCACCATATAATGGCGCCGAAAAGCAAAGGCGGAACAGTTTACGACATTATTAATGGATTGCTGGTTGGTCTTCAAAAATATGAGTCTAGTAACATATTTGAGATCACCCTGGGATCAAAGGGTTCCTTTACCTAAATTTAAACATTTATATCTTTGGCCAAAGCCATTTATTAGTCAGCGAACTATGTAGATACATCAATCGATCATTACTGCGTTCATAGAATGGAGCAGCAGGTGTGGAGGGAGGGGGGAGAGGGGGGGGGGAGAGATGAGAGGAATTGACCGTAACCCTACACTCAGAGGAAAGACAAGACAGGCCGCTTCATCGGTGTGACCGGGTCGCCCAACTGGCTGGCAGGTAGACGACTTCGTCGTCGGTTGGGACAGTATTTGTGTGTTTCTTTTTGATCGCATCAAAACTGCAATAATTTTTTTTTCAGAGCTACTTGGTGACGTGCAGTGCTAAGCCATTTTATATGGCGCACTCAACCTGGTCACAATTATAATCTAAAGCACCACCTTCGTAGATAATGGTTGAACGTGACGATTTTATTTTTTCCAGCAAACAGCGGAATGGAACAGATTGCTACTAGTACTATCGACATCAGAACTGTTCACTAACTGCCGAACATGGTGTATAACCGGCTGCAGATAAGAACATTCTGACAGTGTTGATGACGATTCTTTTCTCAACTCAACTCATAAACATACTGTGCGTACATACTTCTACTGGATGTGCTATAATCGTGTGCCATGACGATAAGAGTAACCTACTGCTGGCCATTTCACGCAGTCTCCAGATTCATGGATTAGACTTTGTTTCTGTTTCCTATACAATATAAAATCAATTAATAATCATGGATTTGTATTCTTGCATGGCATTTGTGGTGGTATCAAGAAACCAATGGGTGTGAATCGTTGTCTTTGGTCTTCTTTGATGTCTGAATGTATTAATATAAATGTGTATAGATCTTGTTCGATCAATCCGAATACATGAGTAATTTTTAATGTATCTAATGTAGTTCTAAGATAACGTCTGTAAGCTCCATTGTATTATTTCATTACAATGAGTGTGTGTTCGTATTTACCGCTAAACATTGCAGAAAGTGAAGGTCTGATAGCTGCAGTGAATGATCATAAGGCAGTGTGAGTGTGTGTGTGCTCTGTTTAGTACCTTGACAGAATATAAGCAGATGACTCATTTCTGTACCTATCTTTAAGTGTGTTTAACATTTAATTAATTTCCACCCAGCAATCAATCATGCGGAACGATGACAAGCTCTTCAAGCTAGGCAAGAAGCTGATGAAGCAAGACTACAAGCGATGTATGGCTCACGTTCGAAAGATGTACTATGAGGAGGATGTCGAGCGCCACAAAACAGAGTTTATCAAGACAGCGGAAGAGCACCAACAAGCACTGGAGGTAAGCTTTTCTTGAAGGGTGGAAATGACTTTGATTGAGTAAAAGCAAAAGTAAAAGCCCCTTTTTCACGCCTTAATGCGTGTTGGGCATTTAGGGCTAGACCCATTTTTATAGACGATTCAGCGCTAGGTGGCTGATGTGGTCGGCATCACGCCGGCCGCTTTTACTTCCATGTAAATTGGGTGGACCTGAAAGTCACGGTTATTTTTGAAAAACAGTCCGGCAACGCTACGACCTGAACCCATGACCTTCCGATACGCAAGCAAGCATCTAGCCGCTACACCATTTCGGCTCCCTGACTGAGTAATGGCACGAACTTTGCGACTTAACACAAAAACAATGGTGGCATTATTTAAGCGCTTAAAAAAATGAGATCAACAGAATAAAATCAAGAGAAATGGTGCCCTTTTAGGCACACTCTGAGGTGTGGGCAGAGAATCACCATGCCCACACTAACAGGGAAACAAATGGATTAAGAAAATGTACACGTTCAAGGGACACCATAAAACGAACGGTGAAGAGAGAGGCCGGATCTAGTAATAGTAGTACATTTAACCCCACCAGGACCTCACACAAGCGTTAAACACCTGATGACACAAAGTGCCACCATGTGGATGAGGATCACCCGTGGAGAGGTCCCAGAAACCGCGTTGAACAATTAGGCCCTATTTATGGCCGAGCTATTCTGCGGCCCCTGGCAAGAACCAGGGTTGGGCTTCAAAGTAACGAAAAATTGCATCCCACGAGGGAATGACTAATTTGTTTGAAGGCCGGATCTACTGGGGGGGGGGGGGGGGGGGATTTTATCAAAGATTTTGAAAGGATAGCATATTAGTAGGACAAACTTCAGGAATAGACTGCGAGCGATATTTGAAAATATAAGTGTATCACAGAATAATCGTGGTGGTGATGATGATGATAATGATGCTGATGATAATGATGCTGATAAAAAGAGACAAAAAATAACCTGACTGTAAATGAAGAGCTAATTGAGCAAACACATGCTTTTTATATCTTGAAAATATGACTATAGCTATGACACAAATTAAAAAGACAAAGTATGTATAGCAAGTTAAGTTAAAATATTGACTTGTAGAAAGATTCAAACCATAACCACAATGAGAATGGTCAAAAGTTACATATAAATGAGGTAAGCGACCTTTTTATGCCAGAGGGACATCGGGTATATAGTTCGAGACATATTTCATAGAACGAACCACACGTTCATACCTGATGTGGCTATCATGAAATATAAATCATGTATCACGCCCGTCGCCATTACTTCCCCTTACATTACCTGGTACCGCTTTTACGCTGGGTCGACCTGTGTGCTAAGGTCAGTTTTAGAAAACGACATTCCCCGATGTGGACTTGAACCCTATACCGTCGGTAGGCAGGCGAGCGTTTAGTCGCTAAGCTGCTCCGGCATATGTGTCATAGATACATTGACAGTCAGTCAGAATTTCTTGTCAAGGCACTGTGGATGCTGGTGTGCAAGGGAAAGACAAAGGCCTGGGTGGCAAGGTCATACGGGGCTACACAATGGCACTGACCTGATCTGTGATAGTGAACATCATATGGGATGGTGAATCATGGCTGTTACGCTCATTGGCATATCAAGTCTTGATGATGGTGACACATGGTAGTGATGGTGATGGGGATGGTGCGTAGATAGACACAGTATTTCATAGAGTAGCGGCTGGCCCAACGGTTAGAACGCTGGGTTCTCAAGCGGGAGACCCGAGTTCGATTCCTCGTTACGGCTGGGGATTTTTTTTCTATCCGGGGCAAAAGAAAACCCTCCCCTGCACAATCGTGGTGACAGAACTAACTATGCAGCCGTAAATCCTCAAGCTGAAAGAGCCCTCTGCCTACACTTCAAAAGTCGTATATTAAAGGCAATAATTGGCAATTGGTAGTATTTCATAAAAATGCAATCACTAAAAAAGGATTTGGAGATATTTGACAATTTAAAAAAGGAATAACATCCTTATACAATTTGCACTGGAGGTGAAAGTCGAAAGCAGGAGATCGAGAGGTAGATATCAAAAGAATAGTGAAACTAGCATCGAAAGAACGACGAACAGCGGCAGGAGAGTTTAATCCACCGGGGCTAGAAAAAGCTTTTGACATTCACTACAGCCCACATTTATTGCTACATCATTTAAAAAAAGGTGCTACAGTCCACGTATTGATGCATCCTTGGCATATATGAATGGCGTTAACCATACATTTCAGTGATTCATCTTCTTTTGCCCAGTGATGCAGTTTTTGGTTATTCAGTTTATTTTATTTAGGAGAAGTAGAGCTGGTAACTATTTAATAAAGCACGTTGTACCTTCATGGTATGTGGTTACTGAAACTGTAAATTTTATTGGGATTTAAATCCAGAAATCTGGCGCCACTAGTTACCGTGGACTCAATACGTCAAGCGATATAGAAAAAGAAAGAGAGGGGAAAACGGCCTTTGTGTCAGTTTCTCTGTCCGTGTATCTGTCTGTCTGTCTGTCCATTTATCTAATCTATCTATCTATCTATCTATCTATCTATCTATCTATCTATCTATCTATCTATCTATCTATCTATCTATCTATCTATCTATCTATCTATCTATCTATCTATCTATCTATCTATCTATCTATCTATCTATCTATCTATCTATCTATCTATCTATCTATCTATCTATCTATCTATCTATCTATCTATCTATCTATCTATCTATCTATCTATCTATCTATCTATCTATCTATCTATCTATCTATCTATCTATCTATCTATCTATCTATCTATCTATCTATCTATCTATCTATCTATCTATCTATCTATCTATCTATCTATCTATCTATCTATCTATCTATCTATCTATCTATCTATCTATCTATCTATCTATCTATCTATCTATCTATCTATCTATCTATCTATCTATCTATCTATCTATCTATCTATCTATCTATCTATCTATCTATCTATCTATCTATCTATCTATCTATCTATCTATCTATCTATCTATCTATCTATCTATCTATCTATCTATCTATCTATCTATCTATCTATCTATCTATCTATCTATCTATCTATCTATCTATCTATCTATCTATCTATCTATCTATCTATCTATCTATCTATCTATCTATCTATCTATCTATCTATCTATCTATCTATCTATCTATCTATCTATCTATCTATCTATCTATCTATCTATCTATCTATCTATCTATCTATCTATCTATCTATCTATCTATCTATCTATCTACTTTCTTATTTTTATTTTCAGGCCTACTTGAGTTCTCAAGTCAAAGTTGAGGATTTCAAAAACAGGGAAGTCTCAGCGAAACTAGTATTTCACGAACTGAAGAAAATACTTTCTGAACTAGAGAAGGTAAAATTTCAGTTTTTAGTACATGCTAGTACTGAATACTGGGGTTAATCCCGTGGTGTAGTGGCTGGGCGCTCGCCTGTGGATTCCCAGGTCGTGTGTTGAAAATCCAACAAGGCTTGATTTTTTCTTCTTTAAAAAATAAGCTTGGCTCCCAGGTTGACCCTGTCTTGAGTAGGTCATGGGTGGAAGTCCTGGGAAGTAATGGCGGTCTGCGTGATGCTGACCACATCAACCATTAAACAACGATTTGTTCATAAAATGTTGGTGATGTTATGTTACCACAATCGACGTCAATGCACATTAGGCATTCCCATGCACGCCCAGTCCTTTGATGCAGCAGCCACTCCAAGGTACTTCTTCTAATTGTTCCCATGAGAGGTTGGTTAAAATTTGTTCTATCTCCGCCTCGAAGGAGGCATGGACGGGCTTCACCATGCTTTACTCTAATGTCACGCAAACATGTTGATGTCAGAGATTCGCCATTAGCCAAATGTAGGTCTCGCCCTATAAGCCAACACATCCTGGAGCGTGAAAACAACATTCTTTTACTTACTTTACTTTGCTTACCTAATTTGGCAAGCTCGTAAAAATATGTATTTTTCTTCTCTCTACGTTAAAGGCACATTGGCACGTTATGTTGTGGTGTGCAGCTAGGCATATAAATATGTATATATATGTATATATATATATTACACCTTTCGATCCATCAGATGCGATTTCAATAAAAACTTGATTAGCAGTTTTTCACGACATACTTGTTCAGAGTCGTCATGCCAGGGTTTCGACAGTGGTATTGTGAAGCCGACCGTCCAGAGGGCAATGGCCAACTCCTAGGCGTACATTAACCTAAAAAAAAAAAAAAAACACAACAGCCAAACAAATGACGGGGTTGGTTCTGCTATGTCCTGTAAAGGAGAGGCAACTAACTTTTTTGTTGAGAGTCAGTTAGTCTGTCATTCTCCCTTCCATCCTTCACAAATAATAGACCCCGTTACTTACACCAGGAAGTAAACCAATCAAAGTAGCTGATTTGCCAGATTCATTCACTGAATATTTGCACCACTTTTGTATTTCTTCATTTGTTCTGTTAGAACTATTGTTTGTTTTTATTTTTATTTGAATTTTTATTTTTATGTCTTCTTCTTTAAGATTTCATTTCATTAATGTTTTACTTTTAGGATTTGAAAACCTATCCAGACCGTATCAAGGAAATCGAGAAGAAAATTGTGCTGCGGGCCAAGGAAGTAGCCGACTTTCAGGAACTAGAAGCCGGAGCTAGGCGCTATCTGGAAATAGAAGAGGTACCATTGTTAACTGGTTAACACAGGTGTGACCGCAGGCTAAGCTAATGCAAATGTATCAAGTGATCAGTGACTAAAGAGCTTAACGAAATGGGAATGCAGAACAGCCTAAACACAACACACAGATCTCGCTCGAGAAATGCGAATTTGTGTTTTTAAGCACGTATTTCGGCTTCCTAATATCGTTAAGTTTTTAATCACAATTCACTGGATTTATTTCTCACCACTTACGTTGTACGCGGCCCATACGTATTGTATACGCACTGTATACGTATCGCTTTGTATAATATTTGTATCATATATGTATCGTATTAGCATTGTATCACAATCGCATATGAATTGTCAATACATTGTATTTGCATTTTTATGATGCTCGTGTATTATATATAGCCATATATATGTATACATATGTGTGTGTGTATATATATAGATGTAAAGGGTCATTTTCCACGCGTTTAGATGTATTGGGTATATACGACTGGACCTATATTTTGTAGAAGAAGCCGCACTTGGTGGGTGATCTAGTCAGCATCACACCGGTTGCCTTTACTTCGCAGGACTGTACCTGGTACCCATTCAAGCCTGGGTCGACCTGGTAGCCATTGTCAGTTTTGAAAGAGTTACGGCTACTTAAGGACCCAAACCCACGACTTTCTTATCCGCAGGCCAGCGTCTAGCCGCTACACCACAGCGACTTCCACACACACACACATATATATATATAATGAAAAGTGTAGGTATCGCATGTTTCTTTGATGCATTATATATTTAGTATACGAAACGTTAGTATGTGTGCGTGGTATGTTGTATACCTTCAGTGTGTATGTTATTTAGATCAATACTCTTTTATTATCTAGATTGTTTCAACATTATCATCGTTTTCATGATCAAAATATGTCATAAAATCTTAAGTTTTGAATTAAGTCTGTACTCTTGTATTATGTTATGTGGCAGATACATACATTTATTCTTGTGCCTGTTCATGACTCTTCTGTCATCAAGTTTACTAGTTATGACTAATTAGGGGGAGCAATCAATGAGAATATTGAAAGATTCTCAGAATATCTTGGACAAAGAAGAGAAATACTGTCATCTAGAAAGATCTGGAAATCAAAGAAGATTAGCTAATAAACAGCATCCTGTCTCGGAAGCTGAAATATTTTGGTCATATCCAGCGCCACGACGAAATGGAAAAAACTATAGCAGAAGGCATGGTACCAGAAAGGAGGGGCAGGGGCTGACCGACACGAAGATGTTCACATGATTAAATTACTTCTTGAATATGAAAGCATATGAGGCGTTTGAACTGGCGAGAGACCGAGTTTCTTTCAGGCAGACCGTGATGAGAGCGACGTTCTGCAAAGGACCTGATACATATTGATGATGATGAATCATTGAGAACAAAGAGACGAGAAAAAAGAAGAAGAAGAGAAGAAGAAGAAAAAGAAGAATAAGAATGATACTGCCGTATACTATAACAGATTCTACGATATATATACAACATCGGCATAGCGATTTTTAATTGTTCACTGAAGAGCGGGAGTGAATAAATGTGGCTATGTCTTCACTGAATTACTGTAAATTCTTGACTAATTCTTTCTGTCATTCATTAACCCACTTGTTTCTGGCATTTAACAACGTGAAGTGTTATATCTCGTACGTTTTCATCTTCTGAAATACCAATTTTGTTAAGCTTATCTCGCTGGTTAATCACTGATCTGATGTTGTGATTGCTTGCCCTTCAAATATTTGAATTTATTCGCCTGGTTAAGCTATTTACTTTACAGAAGAATCACATCACTTTATCCAGTTTTCATCTCTTTGATAGGAAATTAAAGGGAATTTGAGCAGAAAGAGATGTTTGAAAATGTAGTGGGAATGTACATTTCATGTATTTGCGATAAGAAACGAAGTTTTTAACATAGAGGATACTAATTTGGGCATTACGGATTAGTGTTTATTCATGTGAGTGTAAAAATATGTTAAGAGTCATCGCTTTTTATACTAATGTTTATTTTACATTATTAATTCGTAGGTTTACAATACATTGAGGGCACAGTAATGCACACTGGGCTGGCGAATGGACATTCATTCTGATCTCCAGTACGCATTTGATAATAGTTTAATTGCGTCAAAGGTCGACATAGGCTAAAATGGGAACAGTGATCATCATGGAAAGTAAATTCGATGACGTTATATCCACACCACCCTCCAAGAAATGAAAAGTGGGTTGGAAATGGTTGGAAAATAGTATATAATACAAGCTTTCTTTTTCTTATATTCACCGCATGTGACTTTAGCATTCAGGTCTGTCATGTGTTCTCAGTCATTTATGAAATATATTATATTGCTTTCATGCCATTGTGCTTCTTCTTCTTCTTTCATCGGCTATAAGCTCCAGGAAAGTCCTGGTTGTTAGTCCATTTGCACTGTGGCTTTGTGCAAAGGCCTGAATTTTGTTTGGCTTATTTGTGGTAAGTTAGTTGTTCCTTGCCACTCGGCAGACACATTCCGACTTCGAAGGAAGTCCCCATTTAGTAGACTCTCACGACATGCTTTTTAGGAAGGCAGTATGTCTATTCTTGTTTTCCCCGCAAAACGTCCCCGGAACCCACATGGGAAATGGCAAACTGTTAATCTTGTTTGCTTGTTTCCTTCTGGCGTTCGTCTTTCCTAATTTTCCCGTTGTCAGGGTTGTTTTCCTATTCTCACAATGTATAAGACAGATTGACTAGTTCTGCATCATTTGGCAGCGAAATTATGCGTAACAAGAGGCTTTAGAAAGTAAATGAACAGTACGAAGCCGAAGATCATCGTCATAATAGATTACTACAGCATGTAGTACCCAGGGGATCAGGCGATACTCAACACTCAGAGGAGAGCCGGGACGAACATCGAGTCAAACCGCTACTAATACAAGTGAAACTGTAACTCTGCCGTGGCTGCTAAAGGTGAAGATGGATCGCTTATGGGGAAAGTTCAAAATACCGTAATGTTGGTTCCTAACTTAACGTAAGTCATCTCAACTCATAACTTGCTCACGGAATGTGAAGTATCTTTTTTTGACTTATGCAATCATTTCTGTTTGTGAGTGAGTGAATTAGTTAGTCTGTTAGTTAGTCGACAGGTTTTCCTTATTACACTTCGAACAATTCGGTCCATAAGTGCTTGGCTTACGACACCAGTTCTAAGTTAGTTTCTTATTCTTCTTTGGCTTCATGCATGGTGCTCTTGCTGGCGACACCCCTTTTAACATGTTGCTATTGCAGTTTGGCCATGGCCGCAGATTCACAGTCACACAAACGTCTTACTTTTCATAGAACATTCAGTAAATCTGCGTGGTCAATGGCTCGTCAGCGCTTTACAGTAGCTATACCTACAAGCCAATCAGCTAGCACATTTCCTTGCACGCCTGCGTGCCCTGGTACACCTATCAAACAGATTTGTGTCAGGTTTGACCGCTTCTGAGACCCCAGTCACTGTCTTCTGACATAGCCCATCTCTATCTTCCTGAGCATACTCATTGAGCCACTGAGAATGCATGCGTTTGCAAAGGTCGGTGTCCCCAGCCATGTTATTGCTTTGCTGACCTCAATGAACTCCATAGTTTGCAAGTTGACTGCTTTCAAGATTTCTCCTTTACTTGTACTTGACAGACTCAGCTGGGCCCACTGAACGATGAACTGAAGATTGTGAACAACCATTTCGAGAAGTTTATTTCCATGAAAAAACGAGAACTAGATGACAGGAGGAAGAACAACTCCCTAGCCAAGTTCCTATCTGAGAGGGTAAGTTATTAGTCTGCATAAATACCCGCGTAACTCTGCACAGGCTTCAAGTCAACTAGGAGCGGCTGGCCCAGCGGTTAACAATAGAGGCTTCCATGTGAGAGACCCGGTTACCAATCTTCGATTAGGTTGGGGATATTTTTTTCTGTCAGTGGCCAGAAAAGAAAATAATACTAACGTGCACAGTCTGTGGCGACAGCACTTAGCCATCCAGTTGAGAATCTTGAGTCTGGAAAAATATTCCCTGCCTACACGGTAATACGAATACTAATGATACTGGCAGTGAAGTTTTGATACACATTTTACCGCCTTTGTTTCTCGGCTTTTATGACAAGCGAAGACATTGATGATGAGTAACATATGCGCATGAGGCGCACTGTTGTTTGACTCTCGTTTGCCTTGTGAGTAACAACGGGTTTGGCTTTAATATTATTTAGGTGCATAAAGACTACCCCGATAGTTAACGAGGTAAAACACAAACACAAGAAGTGGTACTAAAACCGAGTAAGGCAATGTATACTGAATGAGCTGTTTAGACACATCACATTCTTTGACTATTTAAATGCACACATGTGGAGTGGAGGCTCACCGAATTTTTTTATTTAAAAAAAAGCAAATTAAATGACCCTTTTCTTTGCCTTCAGACTATTGGGCACAAATTTAGTCCTTTATTTGATATACACATCGGCAGTTGGTGGGTGATGTGGTCAACATTGTGCCGACCGCCTTTACTTCCTGTGACTGTACCTGGTACCCACTCAAGGCTGGGTCGATCTGGGAGCCAAGGTCATTTTTGACAGAAGTTCTGACTCTGCCACGACCCAACCACGACCAGGCGAGCGCCCAGGACAGTACACAACGGGTTTCCCTAAAACTCAAACACAAAAAGTGTTACTAAAGCTGAGAGAAGAAATGTTTACTGAATGAGATGATCAGCTACAGCGAACACATTTACAATTTAAAGGCAGGCAGTTATAGGATATTTTTTAGAAGACTTTGAGGGAAAGTTCTTCGGAGGTTGACAAGTGACAAGATCATGGTGACATCCGGATGGACAATAACAAGTGATGGATCAATGATGATATGAGCGAATGCACGATGTAAGTTACTGGCAGCGCGTTTTTGAGAAACACTGCAGTTGACCTTGAGTGTGACGTTTCCTCATTTTCTTTTTAAATGTTTGTTATTCAATTTGATGAAGCGAGCCCAACGCAATTCTCTTTAGAATGTAAACTCAGCACCAAAGCCATCTTAACGATTGGGTCTGTTAGGCCCTTCACCCGGGGGCTCCACGAGCAAAAAAGCTCCATACTTATCTGTGCCTCATCATCATCATGTAGCAGGTCCTTTGCAGAACGTCACTCTCATCACAGTCTGCCTGAAAGAAACTCAGTGTCTCGCCAGTTTTCCTGCCTCAAATACCTTCATACTCAAGGAGTCACTTATATCCTGTGCCCATCTTCGTATCGGTCGGCCCTTGGCCCTCCTTCCTGGTACCATGCCTTCTGCTATAGTTTTTTTCCAATCCGTTGTGGCGCTTGATATGACCAAAATATTTCAGCTTCCGAGAAAGGATGCTGTTTATCAGTGACCAACCGTAAATAATAAATTTCATTCCTGTGAGTAGTAGTCATTATTTAAGTACAAATGGTAGAGACGGGTTCTAAGAATGTGATGGGTAATGGAAAGATCCCAGGGATTCAGTAAAAATTGCACTCGTGATAAAAAAGGCGCAGGCTTAGAACGAATACACGACCTTCAAAGCGCTAGGCAAACGGCTTGGCCACTTCGCCATGGAGACCTCCAACTTGCTTGATAAGGCGGGGAAAAGGTGAAGTGCCCATTTGCACGTCTTTACGAGTAATGGATCGTATAGTTTATAGACCTATGTTTTATAGACCAAAAGGCGGTCGGTGGTTGACGTGGTTAACACTATGCTTTAATTCCCAAGACATGGGAACTAAGGTCGTTTTGAAATCAGTGCGGTTCCGTTTGGATTCAAACGCCCTACCTTCGGATCCGCAAAGCAGCGTCTAGCCGCGACACAAATTCATCTTCGTTTTTGATAAAATTTAATTAATGTTGCAATCATGTCACCTACGTTTTAATTCCATTATTAATAGCTGATTTAGTTTTTCGTTTATATTAGGCTATATTTGGAGACATTATTACATGTTGCATGTTTCGTTTCCTTTCAGTCTCTGTGACTGCTACTCAGAGGTTGCAAAATATTTTTATAAATCCAAAATGCCGAGTTCAATTTAGTTGCCTGCAATCTGCCAACATACCACTTTGCGTGTATTTTTACAACGGTAGTGAACTTTCACCGTTGAGTTGAGTTGAGTCAAAAATTTACATCACAGCACTCGATGCATTACCATGCATGCTCCGTCCTCATCTTCAGCAGCCAGCGCAGAGATCCAATACTAATGGTACCGGTCGCAATCTGGTTAAATGTCCGTCTTGCCTTTCCTCTGAGTGTAGTAAGCCGGCCAGACCCTCTGGTTACACCCAGGTGCCTCATTCTCTCCAGGCCTAAATAATCTACTTTCTTTACTGATTCAGTTGCTTGATCCCAAAGGGTCTTGACCACATGTGCCTTGCCATGTATAAGTTCACCACCCAGCCAATTTGTCTGCTGTTCATTACCACGACGTCAGCATAGCCTGGAAAAAAGATGCTTACTACCCGTGACCTTTCCAGTGAGGCTTGCCACTCTGCTCGAAGCATCCCTGTCTTCACCTATTTCAGCATGCTTTCAGTCTGTTAGAATTACAACATGTGATGCATCTTGTTCTCTAGCCACCGGGGAACTATGACTGTTTAGCCAGCAATGGCAACCATTGTTAACAAACAATTTCCCGATGCCTCAGGAGATGTTGTTTTACTGAAGAATACCCAAAATTCTCTGAACAGCCGAAATGATTAACCCACATGTTGTGAAAGAAGCGAGAGCCATAAGAAATCATCATCATCGTGTGCCCTGCCAACTGGCATAGGCGCTCATGCGTCTTCACAGATCCCGATCCCTGGTTTCCTGAGACAGCTCTCTTGATGATATCCCTCCATGCCATCGTTTTAGCCCATCCAGCATCATCTCTCTTGGTCTGCCTCTACCCTTTTTTCTCCACTGATCTTTCCAGCTGTCTCTTCTCATTATCTCGCCACAGAACAGTGTTTGACTCTTTCTTATTGTTGTATAAAGAGATCTACATTTATTAGCTTCTTTCAAGCAATCGTCGTTAGTTATTCTGGCAGTCCAAGGTATTCGTAACATTCGTCTCAGAAACCACATCTCTGTTGCTTCCAAATTCAACTTATTTTGTGTAGTGACATTCCAAGATTCTATGGTTAACAGCAAATGGCGTGGGCCCCTACTCGATGTGCGTGTCAAAAGGGGAGCAGATGTGGGAAGTGATCATCACCTTGTAGTTTCTCTACTACAACTTAAACTAAAAAAAGTTTACACGCAAGTTAAGACACAGACAGCACGTTACAATGTTAACCTTTTAGGAGAAAAAGACATTGCCACTAAATTTATAATAGAACTCAAGAATAGATTTCAAACCCTATCAAGTGACCCAGAAACTTCAACTACAATCAGCATTCAAGACAGATCGAACCAGATCAAAAAAACATACAAATCAACTAGCAATAACATATTAGGAACCAGGAAACAACACCACAAAGAATGGATAAGTAGTCAAACCATGGACTATATTGCCAAGCGAAAAAGAATAAAGAGCCTCATAAATCACACTAAATCAGAACTTCAGAAAGACAAACTACTGTTAGAATATAGCGAACTGAATAAAATGACAAAGAAAAGTGCCAGAGCTGACAAGAGAAGATTTATGGAAAATTTTGCAGAAACAGCAGAAAATGCTGCTAAAGCACATGATCTACAAACCCTACACAAAATTACCCAGCAAATTTGCGGAAACAGAAACAACTATCACAGCATACCCATCAGAGATAACCAAGGCAGACTGCTCACCACAGAACAAAAACAAGACATGCAGTGGACTGAAAACTTCTCCGACCTCTTGAACAGACCTGATCTTGAAAATCCCCCAGATATTCAACCAGCCTCTCAGGACATTGACATTATTACTGAACCACCAAGCAAACAAGAAATCTCTAAAGCTATCCACACTTTAAAGAACAACAAAGCACCATGCAAAGACGAACTGCCAGCAGAACTTCTCAAAGTAGATCCCAACACAACTGCTAGCATTCTAGAACCATTGTTCAAGGATATGTGGGAAAAAGAAATGTTGCCTGATGACTGGACTGAAGGAACAATAGTCAAAATCTCCAAAAAAAGGAGACTTAACAGACTGCAATAATTGGAGGGGAATTACTCTACTCTCAGTACCAAGCAAAATATTTTGTAAAATCATCATAATGCGGCTTGAAAAAGGAGTAGATATGCCTACGAGTGGAACAAGCAGGATTCAGAAAGGACAGAGGAACAACTGAGCACATCTCCGCCATACGTAACATTTTAGAACAATTCAATGGCAGAGAAGTATATATATATATATATATATTAATTTTGTGGACTTTGAGAAAGCTTCTGACAGCGTCCATAGAGACGGTCTGTTGAAAATTTTACGACATTATGGAATTCCAGAAAAAATAGTCAACATAATTGCTCTCTTCTATAAAGACTTTTCCTGCAGTATAAAAAATTAGAATACATCTTTCCCAGTAAAGACAGGTGTAAGACAGGGATGTGTTATGTCACTCTCCTCTTCAACCTTGTGATTGATTGGATACTAAAAAGCACAGTAGACAGGACATTAAGAGGCATACGATGGACTCCATTCACCATGCTTGAGGACCTTGACTTTGCAGATGATATAGCACTCCTATCACATAAACATGAACATATACAAGAGAAAAGTAACAGACTACACTGCACAGCAGAAATGGTGGGACTGAGAATAAATACAAAGTAAACTAAGATCATGACAAACAGTCCAAACCAACAACCAGTGACCATAAGTAACCAATCACTTGAAAATGTAGAACATTTCACGTATCTTGGCAGTGTGGTGTCCCTACTGGGAGGGACAGAGGAAGACATACAGTCACGCCTGAACAAAGCTAGAGCTGCTTTTGGAAGAAATGAGGCAAATCTGGAAATCCAACAATTACTGCAGAGGAACTTTATGGAGCGGAATGCTGGAGAATGACCAAAAGGGATGCACACAAGCTGTCCACCTTCCACCACACATGTTTACGTAGAATTATCAAAATTTTCTGGCCAGTTACAATCTCAAACACTCAACTACTTCAAGCCCCAAACCAAGAAACTTTAGACAATATGACAACCAAGAGAAGATGGAAATGATTTGGCCACGATATGAGAATGAATCCTAATATAACTGCCAAAACAGCTCTCACATGGACACCAGAGGGAAAGAGAAAACAGGGGCGCCCAAAAACAACATGGAGACAAACGATGGAAAGTGACCTGAGTTCCGCATCTCTGACATGGAAAACTGCACTGAAGATTGCACAGGACAGGAAAGCCTGGAAAGTCCTCTCTGAAGCCTCATGTGCCACTAGGCATAACGAGAACTGATGATGATTCCAAAATTCGCTGCCATACAGCAGAACAGGTTCTATGTAACATTTTAGCACTCTCTTTCTGACATTCGACAACTGATCACAGATATCAGAAGGACACAGACATCATTTTGGCTTTGTTATGACAAGAGACGTAACAATGAAGTCAAGGTTCCTTCTCCACGCCTTTAGGCGTACTGGGAATACAGGCCCAGACCTTTATTTTTAAAGACCAGTCGGCAATTGGTGGGTGATATAGTCAGCAACACGCCGGCCGCCTATACTTCCTAGGACTGCACCTCGTACCCACTTAAGGCTGGGTCGATCTGGGAGTCTAGGTCATTTAAAAAAAAAAAAAAAAAAAATAACGCCCGGCACCGTCAGTACGCGAATGCACAATCTTTCGATTCGCAGGCCGGCCTCTATCCACCAATGCCACGGTGACCCTGTGACAAGAGACATGACCACTTGAAATAAGGGGAGACAGAGCAATTGAAGATAAGAAAACCTGTGGCAGCTTTTTGTCATTGCCTGGAGCGTTGTCACCACATGAACTAAACATGCTTTTGAAGATCACAAGCTTGATTGCCCACGCCAGTCAGCAAGGCACTTGACGATGACAAGCTTCAAACATATTGGGGTTAGTTTGCAACATCTTAATTTTTGCTTTGAACGTACTTATCTGTCATTCTTTCCCCTACTATTTTTTTTTTTTTTCGTTTCTTGTTACCTAATTACTCTATTTATACATTGTCATGCCTTGATTGTATGCATGCGAATTGCTTATTTGATTAAGCTGTTGATTTTTCATGTACGTTTGAATCGACTTATCTATCATGTCTCCTGCGCACGTAGCGTAACTACTGTATGTTACACTCCTGACGTCATTGTAACGTTTGCATGTCTCTCCACTTTAGGAATCCCATGGGTTCAGTTTTACTGGAAGCTCAAGTAAGTCATGTGTGTGCACACAACAGTTGCCTGCCGTGTTCTTATGCATTGTGTGTGTGTGAGTGTGTGTGTGTGTATATATATGAGTCTGTGTGTATGAGTCTGTGTGTGAGTCTGTGTGTGTGTGTGTGTTCCAATAACCAGGTAATCACAGTTCCAACTATATAGCAAACGGGCCACTCCATAGTTACACAGTTCCTATGCCAGCTTAACTCGTACAGAATGTTCAACACTGTGCCTTATGGGGAGGGGGGAATGGGGGGAGGGGCGGCATAAGGTAGAAGTTAAAATACCAACATTAACTCACCGACAGTAAAAATTAAGTTAACATCGATATAATCGAAAGTTTCAACAGATTAGTAGCTGCACCCGCAAAGATCGCCTAAAGCAGCACACGTTATCTGGCCATAAGCCAGAGAAATCCGACCAGGTCAAAGAAAACGTTGACAGACTTTGCTATCAATTGGGACAGAACAAATAGTTGGTCGTGAGCATCCTCAATATTGGAAAGGTGTTTTTGATTTTGGTGCCAACGGATGTTGATGTGGTAAACACATGGTACAGTGAGCAACCACAGTCCTTGTTTTTCTGACTGTATTTCCAGCCTGTCTAAATACTGGGGGGCTTGTCTGAATGCTTACGTCGTGTTTTGTTGTTGTTGTTGTTGATAAACTCACTTTGCATAATTACTTCGCAATCAATACTTTGTTTAATTGTACCACGCCTGTTCGTCTTTCTTTCATACTTTTGTGATAAAACTTGCAGAACTCGTTTCAAATGAACGCACCTTTTACCTAGATAGATATGGTCTAGTTGCATATCGTGTCTGTGGTGAGATATTCTCACTGCCGGCTTCACTGTTGACAATTTTGGTCGAAAACAGTCGCGTACTTTATGTATGCCCTTCCTATTGGTGATTATTTAGGCCAATTTGGTGTTTTATTTGGACAATCTTTATTTCATCATCATCAGTCATATCATTGACTTCTTCTTCTTCTTCTTCTTCTTCTTCTTCTTCTTCTTCTTCTTCTTCTTCTTCTTCTTCTTCTTCTTCTTCTTCTTCTTCTTCTTCTTCTTCTTCTTCATTTTCTTCTTCTTCATTTTCTTCTTCTTCTTCTACTGTTCTTCTTCGTTTTCTCCTTCTTCTTCACCTTCTTTTGTTTCCGCATTTTAAACCTCCACTGATCTCTCTTTTTTGACCTGTTTCCAGTTGGTGACGTCAAGTGTTTATTTGTATGTCTGTCTGAACATTATCTCCCCATCATTTTCTTGGTGGGCCACGTGGCTCACTTTTGTTTGAAGTTTAACCTCTGTGTTATCTGACATTCTCTCAATATTATATTAGCTCGCGTAATGCCAGTGATCATTGGTGAATATAACAGGTTATGAATTTTGTTGTTGCTTCTCACTCTCCTTCGGCTCTGTGGCTAAGTCGATGCGAACGCTTCGTAATGCCGGGTTCGATCCCAGCTGCGGGCAAACTCCTTGCGTTGGTTTTGACATTGGTATTAAGAAAGCCGACCGTCCAGGGGCAAAGGCAAACTACTCGACGTACATTTCCCTAGAATACCACACAACAGCCAGATGCTGTTGGGGTTGCTTCTGCAACATCCTGTAAAGGATATACAACTAACCTTCTCACTCTCTATTTCCCTCTGCTTGCATCTCTGATAGGTCCAAAGATTCGTCCTAACAGTGTTTTTGAAACTTTGAAGTTCTCGTTTTGTTCTCGCATCAGCCCTTTTTAAATGTTTTTAAAAGTGAAATTTCCAAGGATCGTTCTGTAGTATTGACGTCGTATAGCGACCACAGAATGATATAGTGTCCCCTTAAGTCTGTACTAACTTCAAAGGTGTTAAAGACTAATAACAACAGTCTCTATAAATGTATAGAGTAGTTCTTCAGACATTCAGTGAAGGCTCCGCGAGTAACAAGAAGAATAAAGACCGGATGATGATTCGGACGAAGAGTAAGTAAAAGAAAACAGTGATGATACACAGCTATCGGTAAATGAGGCAGAGGCTGACCTCCATGTAGGTGGATACACATGACCTTGATGAAGGTGGATACACGTGACCTCCATGAAGGTGGATACACATGACCTCCATGAAGGTGGATACACATGACCTCCACGAAGGTGGATAAACAAAAACTCTTTGAAGGTGGATACACGTGACCTCCATGAAGGTGGATACACATGACCTCTATGACGGTGGAAACACATGATCTCCATGAAGGTGGATACACGTGACCTCCATGACAGTGGATACACATGGCCTCCATTAAGGTGGATACACATGACCTCCATGCAGGTGGATACACATGACCTCCATTAAGGTGGATACACATGACCTCCATTAAGGTGGATACACGTGACCTTAATGAAGTTGGATACACATGCCATTGATGATACATTGGCTATAAAAACACATTAGGCATTTAAGAGACTGTTAGACATGCCATGAAGAGAGTGGAGGGGGGAGAAGATAGAAGAAGAAGAAATAAGAAGACAAAGGAAGAAGAAGGCAGAATAAATGACAGCCGAAAAGAACAGAAGAAGATCACAAATCCTTCCAGGGCTATATGTTTAGTTTCCTCAAATCGCAAGGGGGGGGGGGAGGGGGGGGAATAGAATTGACCCACTGCACATTAATAGGCGTATCGTAAAAGGCAACTGATAAGTTGTTTGATGAAATCCGTTTTGCTGAGCCGAAAGTTGCAAATATCTTAGCCTTTGCTGTAAACCACAACACAAGGTGACAACCGCCATTTATAGAAGGAACACAGGAGAATAAGAATCCTTCTAGATCTAGCCATTCGGTGCTCTCTTTGCTTTCATCGTAGACCCCTATCGTAAAATCGCAACAGGGGCTGATCCATGATCTGCCCTCAGTGTATCGCTGTAGCAGTATTTATTGCGTAACACATACACATTTTATGTTCCGCATTAATGATTAAGGCAGTAATATCAGAAACTGAAACCGTGTATATTAAATTACAAGGCATAACCGAGATGAAGATGCTGGCTAGAAACAAAGCGCTAGTCAGTGCGCAGGATGCCCTGATCAGTCTCATGGACGCTATGATAGTCAATGATGTCAGGGTAAGGTCGTGATTGATTATCCTATAGTTTCTACACACTGATGATTGCTGCGTTTAAAAGTCTTCTAAATGAGCTATGTTTAAGTACTGCTCTGAGTTGTATGTCATACAAAACTGCTTCTCAGTTAGGTGTATCCTGAGAGAGTCGAACAAAGTTCGGATTCCTCAATTCCATCGACGACCCCAGAAATCCTAGAAACTCTTGCACTTAGCTAACCAAACCCAGTCAACCCACGACTCTCAGACGGCTTTACCATTTCGACAAAGAGGCTTACTATCTTTCTTTTTATGTGTTTATATGTCCGATATAAGTGTGTCTGTGTGTTTGATTCCCTGAATATGTATTTTATTTATTTATTTTAAGCAGGGCACTAGAATAGAAAATAACTACATGTAAAATGCGCTGTCTCCGCAAGGTCACTAACAACACTATACGAGACTGGGTTACGAATACCAGCATTAGAGAGAAAGTTGTAATAAGACCATGTCTGGATTAAATTGACAAAAAAAAAGAATAAAATGGTTCGGCCATCTAGTGAGCATGCACCTAGACTAGACCGCATAAGAAACTTTTAACAGTAGAACATTTGGAATAAAGGCGAGAGGAAGACCAAGAAAGAAATGGATAAATTGCGTAGATGAAACCTGCAAAACGATGAACAAATCCATCACTCAAGCCACCCGAAAAGCGCAATACAAATACAGAAAACCACGACAGTGGGTTACAACCTGGAATCAGTGAGACGAAAAAAGAAGAAGAAGCAGGTCAATCTGTTAAGGTGTCGAGGGTCTAGTCTGTATGTTCACCTGTTCGTTTGTCTTTCTACCAGACCGTAAGCTGTTTTTTTTTATTTTGTTGTTGTTGTTGTTGCTTGCCTAAACGTTCATCTGTCATGCGATGTGAATAATAGTCAGCTAATTTGTCTGACTATTCTCCTATCTATCTGCCAGTCCGCCCTTCTCCACGTCTCTATCTCGGGTTCTCTTTCTCTCACTTTCTTTCTCTCACTGTATATTTGTGAGTATGTGTCTGTGTAGGTGTGTTATCTCCAATCATGTCGATCGAACTAATCATTTTTGTGCCTGAGAGTCTGCCTATTTGTTGCCCAGTCAGTCATCTTTTTAGTTGCTCTACTATCTATCTACCTGTGAGCATAATCGTCAAACAATGTATTTACCTGTACTTCCAAATGTACGTGTGCCCATCTCTTTGGTTGTTGGTACGTCCATCTTTCTTACAATTGCTTAACCCTTCTACCTGTCCACGCATATGTCTGTGCATCTAATCTTCCGCTGATTTGTGTACCTGTCCTTTACCCTTCTCAAGCATATCTTAATTAATTAGCCAATGCAGCTATCTTACTCTTCAGCTCATCAGCTAAATGTTCCTTGTGGACGTTTTCATTTCCACAATTAGTTTGTCTCCAGTTTCTGTGCATGTTTTGTAACTCTTTGTTTGCACTAGACTAACCGAGTTTACCATTGATGCCTCTCGCGTGAAGTTTGTTGTAGACTGCATTCTAGACCAAGAGGACGTGTCCAGGCTTCTGAAGACGGAAAAGCGCGACCGACTGGCTGAGAACACGTTCCTGAAAGCCGAGCTGGCCCGCATGCAGCACAACAACGAAGTGCTCAAGTATGATGACGTCAAGCAGGCCAGGTCAGAAAACCAATTTGGCGGTTTACGCATTGGAGAGGAACGGGGGGGGGGGGGGGGGGGCTCTCACTAATCTTTGTTTAATTGGGCAACATTTTTAATTATTGTTATAATTGTAAGAGTGAAGATACAGGTACAACCGTAGACAACGTGCGTACACCAAGGTCGCCTGAGCTGCTTCGACATACATTCTCATACCTATTAGTCGGCTAGGTCACCCCTCATCATGACGTTATGGTACATATGGTACAATTATCTGGACTCTAAACAGGCGAAGGCATAACATGTTACTGTGACTTCTCAGACTCTTGAAAACAGTATATCTACAACAGCATTTCGTCTCACTACACTGAACATGTCGCAAGGAAAAAACAAATAGCTACAGAGTCAACAAAATCTAGTTTTATTAGAATCGGTCAATCATCATCGCGCCCAGAGATACATCAGATGGAGCCAAACTCAATTCAATCCTGGGTCATCCTCTCAGTCTCAGTTTTGTCCTTCGGGTATCCTTCAACCTCAACGGTTCGTCTCTAAGTGCCTCTTCCTCGCTGTTCTTGTGGTGTCCATTGCATTTCATTACCTGTCTCAGCAGTCTCTAGTTCTATTAGAATAATCACTGTTAATTTACCTATGAAAATTGCACCACTACTACAAGCTATAATATCACTACCGTAATAACTACTACCAATAGTCTACCCACAAGTGGCATGGCCACACTACAGTTGTCTAGAGCAGAGCCGTCCCAGCAGCGGAAGTTCAAAAGAATACACCTGGTCCAGACGAAAACATTCCAAGCAAGCAACAAAATAAAAGCCTGGAACATCTCGTACGGTGATATGCACGAAGACGACAAAACTGACGTCACCAAAGCCTGGTTAAGATCACAATAGAGACGATGACCTAATGGCGGAACAGCAGGATAACAGCTACTAAATTATCATGGAAGGACTGGCACCGCAATATCACCATGAATAGGTCAGAAGACAACCAAGTCAGTGGCAGTAACATCACCAACGGATGACACAATAAGGAACACATGACCTGATCAGATCCAAACCTGCATAGTGCGACGGATACTACCTGGCCGACCAGATAGACACGAAAGACATAAAATACTAGCACCAAACATTACGCAATGAAATAGTTACACAATTTGTTGCCATAGTTATAACCGATATTGACCAGGACGAGGCTAGCACCCCATTCGGAGGTTAAACATGGCGAATTCAATTTGAACGAACAAATAAACCTGAGCTCACTTTCACATATGTAATGCTTTGCTGGCAGTCCCACAAACCCCCGATTTAAACCATAATCAGAATTTTGGCAATGATAACTATGTTAAGTAGAAGCAAATAAAGCCTTCATGCGTACTTGGCTAAAAGGGCTAAACTTTTATTTTATAGACCAACTGGCACTGGGTGGGGAATGTGGAAAAAAAGAAATTGCGTCCCACATGGGAACGTCCTATAAAACTCTTCACATGAACACACAACTCGTTACACATGTCAGACAGACACAATCAACAGAGAAAAAAAAAAGGTTACACAAATAACCGCTGTTAATTTCAGGATACGGGCAGCCCGGGAGGAGGCACTGAAGCTGGAGCTCCGGGAGAAGAAGCGTTTTGAAAAAGTTGATGCCAACTTGAGGCACCAGGACAAGCTGCTGTCCGACTTGTCACTGGCGCTCCACGCCATGTTTGAGAGGCTTCGTCCCGTCAAGCTTGCCGATGTACGTCATCTTGATTTGTGTTCTTATTTTAGACTTATGTCCAGTTGTTCAGGGGGTAGCTTCAAACTTTGCACATTCTTCCATGACAGGAACAACAATAAACCTTAAATTTAACAGGTGTTGATGGTGGGAAAATATGAATTGGGAAAATCAGCATGTCCAAGAGTAATGGAAAGGATGAATTACATATATAATATATGTCTGTGATGTAATACGCTGCAAAACGATATGAGTGAATAAATGAGTGAATGGGCAAACAATTCGGTAATAATTAAATATTTCATACACACACACACACACATATATATTTATATTTAAATTATGTGCCTGTGGCAGGAATGTCTCAAGAAAGTACTTGCGATCTACAACAGCATGAATGAATCAATAGCCCAATAGCCGAATAAATAAATGAATGAATGAAATGCGAATAATTGACAATGATTGTCTGGAAAACTGACCTTGGGAAGTAGAGCCTTCCACGTATCTTCAGGGACGAGGATATGTTCTTTGTCAGTGAGAAAGACCTCGGAGATTATTGTAAATAAATCAGAACAATCATCATTAAAAAATCACAGGCAGAACTACAAGTGAAGATACTGGATCGGTAAAAAAAAAAATGCTGCAGAAGATGCGGGAGCTGCTGCTCGTGAGTCCTAGCCATCTAGTTTAGCCTCAATCCACGCTGCGTGAGCGGCGTTTTGGATACTCTCGGCGGTGGCGGTCGCCGGAAAACCGCAAATAAGGTCGCCGGAAGTGCGCAATTGACACGTGGCGGAGGCCCTGTTTTTGGCCGCCATAATATCCCGATATTCGGAGGATAGCCCAGAACTTTTCCGCCGGAGTTTACAGCTGGCGAACGTGAAGAAGAAAAAGACTATGGACTGAGATGTTGTGAAGAAAAACATGAACGTCTATGCCGAAAGAACACAATGCGGATAATTTGCCCATTACCTAGAGACAATTATACAGCTGTTAGACAGCAATTAGACAGCTGTAGCAACTGTAATGTTATGACTGGACGAACGGCTAAGAACCCAGGGCTCTCCTGCAGACCTGGGTTCACACCCCTGCTATAGTTGGGAATTACTTTCTGTCGGGAGCACACGCACACTTACACATGCGCCCGCACGTACGACGCACACACACACAAACACACAGACACGCACACACACACACCCATCCACACACATATATATATATATAAATATATTCAAATCCTAACCTTCAAATTCCTTGGTGATAGCACTTGACTTGGCTTGGTTTACTGAAGAAAACAAAATCGTCAAGTGCAGCCAGCATCCCCAAACTTACCAAATACAATATTTTAATGCCAAGAGAACCACCGACAGAAGCCAAACTTTACAGGTCACCAAGTAAATTAATAAAGATTGGGAAGTTCATATTAGGGATAACATTGCAGATATAAATAATCTATTTCAAGCTTAGGTGGAAGTAAGTTTATCATGCACACATACTTAGCCAACAGATACCTACTCCCACACAATTACACAAGTGTCACAATACTGTCGTGAGGTGAGCAGTCACCCTACACAATGGACGAGTCGCGACTTCAATTTCCCTCGCGGACAGTCAAATTTCAAACTTGAACCCGTCCGGAAAGGCATATAGTCCCTTATTTTGATCTATACCTTTATCTGGTAAAATAATAATTTCTAGACCTTCTAGTTGCTTTGATAAATCTTCATTTTCAAACTTGCAACTGTAGGTTGGCTAATTCTTGTATTGTATTTAGACATTCCTGTAAACCGGTTTACTCCTTAGGCAGAAATACAGGGGACTTCTTTCCTAGAGACGCTAGTTTGATTTTGAAAAAAACATTCTTTCGCCGGATCCCAAAGTGTCAAGACGTGTATACAGTCTATGTAGAAATTGGCGCATTCAAAGTTCCATTTTTATCTTGAAATATGTCCTAGGCTTGGGTAAGTTGATTATAGTTTACGAGTACTATAATTGATGTCTTTTTAAAAGTGGCCACTGCTGCAGAGAGGGCAGAGTCAGCTGTGTGATCGCACAGAGTTCGACCGTTCTTGATGTCCAGAGATCAGAATCCGAACCTTAGACCTTCCCCTGTACATACTAATTAGTTGGTGCTCTACATAACCCACACCATTTGTAAAGATATTAAACCCTACAAGTAATTATTCTCTGACCAGTCAAACGAAGTTTTGTGTCGCATAACTGAAACAGGGAATTTAGGTCACCTTTAACCGGCAGTCAGGGCTAGGTGCTCTGAGTCAAAGGTGTGTTTGACACAGATTCAGTGGGTGTGTAGTGAACGGCCTGTGGAGACGGAATATATATATATATAGGTACTAACTGTAAACATTGTATGTCTGCGAGTGCAGACGTGAGGGTGGAGAAAGGATGATCTATGTGTGGTAGTGTCTATCTATCTTCACTATATATCTTGTTTTCTATCTGTGGCACTATTTTACAGACAGATAAATGTCATCACCTGTGAGACCGGCAGTGGGCATCACAGTCTCCAAGAGCTTTGGTGGGCTCCTGTGCAGTTTCTGTGTCCTATCTCGTGACAGTCAGCTGGTACCAAATCAAATCAAGGCCCAACTACTGATTGAGTCAACTACAGTCGAATCACCATGGACTGAGAGGAGCATTGACCTACGAACTGGGCTAAGTGATCTTTTATTCACCCTTCATGCTCTATTCCCACATCATCTTATCAGACCGATGATGAACTCATGTACTCTCCTGAACCAAGATCTGGCTGCTTCAATAACTGGGTTGTGTCATTGATTCCTGAGCTCCACTCAATGAACTCTTGTTGATCTATTCACTATTATATGTATATATTGTACCGATTACATGCACACATTTTCATGGCTGACTTGGGTGTCCCTATTTCACCATTCTAACTGTCTAGCTCTGATGATTGTTTGAGCAATAAGTGTTATATGTGTTAACATGGTTATGATAGTAGACTATCATAACCTGGGGGCTATCTTTTTATAGTAGTGGGTGTGTCCAGCCAAGTGTGCCTAGGAATATTATATATTTTTCAGTGCCAAAACTTGAGTTGCCTTACTCCTGAAATAAGTTGAGCGCGTATTGGCCACGGGGCATCCCTTAGACCAATACGAGCCAACGACTCAACGTAATTATTTCAGAGTGCTGTTGGTTCTTAAGGAGAAATCCTTAAATCAGGCACGCGACAGGAGCGATGTGTGACAAATAAATACATTCATAAACACGTGCACAGATAGATATAAACATAATGTAAACACACATATCTACATACGTACATGCACACATACATACAATATATATATATATATATATATATATATATATATATATATATATATATGGGTCATATATATGTCGGGGGTTTAATTAGTTTAAATAGTACGTGGCGACAGCATGCGGGGCTAACTCCTCTATTCTACACCGTCCTACACAGACCGTAGTAACAGTTTTTGTTGTTGTTATTGTTGTTGTAGTGATGGTGGTGGTAGTGGTTGCAGTAGTACTAGTAATGGATGGGTGATGTGGTAGCTGTTACACTGGCTACATTTACAGATTTACATATATATATATATATATATATATATATATATATATATATATATATATATATATATATATATATATATACTAGCTGTACCCAGCCACGCTTTGCTGTCAACAGATAAGGCATCGTGTGAGACCTAAACTGAGCTTGTAATCCAGTCCACCCAGACTTAAATCGGTAGCATTAACTTCAACAGATAAGTAGATCTAGCCAGTGTAACAGCTACCACATCACCCATCCATTACTAGTACTACTGCAACCACTACCACCACCATCACTACAACAACAACAACAATAACAACAACAATAACAACAACAAAAAACTGTTACTACGGTCTGTGTAGGACGGTGTAGAATAGAGGGGTTAGCCCCGCATGCAGTCGCCACTTACTATTTAAACTAATTAAACCGCCGACATAGAAAAAAAAACGTCATCACGAAACCAGTGATGGAACCCACAGTGAAAAGTACACGATACTCACGAATAGCGGAGAAAAATACCCCGCACCCGTCATCTCTCCCTCTCCGAGGGAACGATTTTGAACTGACCTTGGCATCCGTGTCCACCGAAACTAAACTGGACTTTAAGCCAGGTAGTGAACAGTTTCTGTCACAGCCGACTAGTTTTTTATCGAGAAGCGTCGCGGGGAAGGCTAATTAGGAATTAACTGAAATTGGATGTCTTTCGGGGAAAGGCGCAGATATCGCAGCCTAGCTGTAAACCACAAGACAACGTGGCAACCATCCTTATAAGGGAAAAAGAACAATTATCACCCAGCGGGGGATCGAACACCGAAGTACTTATAACTAAACTACCGAAGACTGAAGAATTTAGGTCAGATATCGAAGCCTAGCTGTAAACCACAACACAACGTGCCAACGGCCCTCTCGAGGGCGAACGAAGATTACCTGTGACATGACCATTAGGCATCACGTCGCTACTGTCGCAGGTTAGCTATAAACCCCCAAAACGAAAAAAGGCGTAGATATCGTAGGCTAGCCATAAACCATAACACAACGTGCCAGCCGCCCATTTAGGGGCAAAAAAAATTATGTCACCTTGCGGGGTATTCGAACGCGGGTCACCCGCATAATAGGCAGCATAGTTAATATCTACTCTACCAAACACTCAAGCGGATAGTGGAAATGAAATTATATAATAATGCAAAGTTCAATAAGAGCTCAGCAGTCAAAAATGGCAAATCACCTAAAAAAATCGGGGCCGGCAACGAAACAAATAATGATTTGACCGTTGCTGGAGCTACGTCGTTCGTGGTTTGTGCGATTTTCTGACAAAAAAAATCACTCTTTGAGTCAAAGGCAACGTTGTGTGATAATTTGAAAGCAATCAGTTCAGTAGTTTCCGAGTCTGTAGTTAACAAACTCGGAAAATTAACATTTTTATTATGTATACATACATACGTATAAACAAACATTTACATACACATAAGCACATAAGTTCATGCATGCTGCATGTGAGAATAAATACTGACAGACAGTTAGAGAAACAGACACAAACATATATATCATTGTATGCAACAAACGCCTGACGCCGTCTTTCGTAATCACGGGCTTTTTATAGAGGTTCCCTCTTTTGTATTTTGTTTTGTTTTTGTGTGTGGCAATACTTTTTCCATGCTAGTTCTTTATTTTTCTTTCGCGTAAGAATACGTTATAAATATTTTTGCTTAAATCCATCCCAGAGACAAAAGTTGTATGTTTAGGAACGAAACAAAAGCTGAAGCAACATATTGTACAAGCTTCAACACTGGTGTGCGACATCAGTGGAGATGGTCACCATGCAGCCATACAAAATCATGTTAGAGCTAAGCTGTGTTCTACGAAGACGAACAGGGATATTGACTTAAGTGGCGATTGTTATTCCCTAGGCGATCAACACGTACCATGGCAATCTAATAGAAGACATTCAAAATTTCACCACCAAGCTACTAAAGATGCGGTCTTTGATCGAGGAGAGGACTATACCAGTGGGCCGTGTCAAGCCATTAATGGTATTATCAAAGTTGTTATCGTCACTCTCACAATTATCATTGTTATATTAATCAGTTGGTTTATGCTTATGTTTATTCGACGGATCAATTTTGTGGTGTGACCCATAAGTGCTCCATTCTACTTCTAACTCAAGCCTCAGTCCGCACACGCACACACACACACACACACATACACACACACACTCACACACACATACTTCTTTTAACACCAGCCGGCACTCTGTCATACAGGCCACTTTTATCGCCCATGCTTTTTCCTTTAACGCATTTTGCATTTGCTGTGCTATGGAGCGAAGTTCAATTATTCAAAAATCTAACCGGCCAGATTCGATCACTAGACCCTGGGTCCGAGGGCACGGTATTGTCAATACTCCTTCGTCATGCAACAGCTGTGCGAATAATGTATCTTTTATATATCTCATTTCAACTATTAGTTGGTTTGAACTGTTGTACCTGTAACATGATTTAGCTGCCTAAAATGAGCTCATTGTTATGCATAATTGTCCCAGTGTGGTTTTGGGGAGAAAAGGAGGGGGAGAACCGCTGCCTCTATAGCAAGCATGTCGTAAAAAGTAACTAACTGATTTTTCACCTGAAGTCGGAACATCTGCCTGTAAGGCGTGGAGCCAAAAGTCTGCATACAAATAATCAGTTCTGTAGAGTAGGTGTGTGCAAGTTCTGAAACAAGACTAAAATCTGGAAGTGGAACTAGAACTTTCCTCCGGAGTTTACAGCCGGTAGATGCTAAGAAGAAGAAAAAGATAGATAGTAACGTCTTTGTTGTCATTAGGAAAATCAAGCACGTTACCTAAAAAACAAAACCATGTTGATTACTCGTTACTAGCTTCGCTTGTTCAAAGAGAAGAGAATCCCCGGAGATTACGCCAGAGTGGAGTTTGAGAAGGCTGGCTTAGCTGGGCAGATACAGGTACCTGTCTATCCTCTACCCGTCTGTCTGATTCTGACTCTGTACCTATGTTTTGTCTATCTTTTGTTTGTACCCTTGATCATTCTAACCACCGATGTCTCTACCAGTCCTTGTCCTTTTAGTCTCTCCGCTTGTCAATTATGTCTATCTTTATATCTGTTGGCTGTCTATCTACCTGTATTATAAACTTGTTTAATGCCCCCCACCCCCTTTTTATAAAAGTCAGATGCGTTGAGTTGAGTCAGAAATTGACATCACAGCACTCGGAGCATCCCTATGTATGCTCCGTCCTCATCTTCAGCAGCCAGTGCAGAGTTCCAATACTGATCGTACCGGTCACAATTTGGTTAAAAGTCCGTCTTGCCTTTCCTCTAATACTCATATTTAAAGGTTAATAGTCACATATGACGCCTGATGTTTTTTTCCACATACATCTCAGTATGTCATTATTTGCGGCTTGGTGAAGAAGTGTGTCGTATTTGTCTGCAGAAATGAACTCAAAAATTAATTTAAGATTGAACACTCGGAGCTGTGTTTGTGGGTATTGTCAAAGTAGGAGCGCATCTGCCTGAGAGGCAAGGAACGAGCAGCTTGCATACAAATAAGCCAGATTTGTAAAACGGATGTGCACGTTAACTCAAGTTGTGGATCGAAACCAAAGTTCCGAAGTAAACATAAAACCAGAACTTTCGGCCGGAGCTAACAGCTTGTGATTACTCAGAAAAGGAAAAAGAAAAAAAGCTAGCAATAATAAAAATGAATCGCTCTAACCTTCTATGGAAAGCTACATTTCAGAAAAATAATGACCACAAGTCGGCGTCTGTGGCTAAGACATTGCGAATACGCGTCGTAAAGTCGTGGCACCGGGTTCGATCCCAGCTGCGGGCCCTGCGCCTTGCTCTGGTTTCGACGGTGTGATCGAGAGCCGACCGTCCCGCAAGCAATGACAAACTAGGTTAGTAGCGTATCCTTTACAGGACGTTGCAGAACCAACCCCGACAGCCCCTGGCTGTTGTGTGGTTTTTCTAGGCAAATTTACGTCCAGTAGTTTGCCATTGCTTCCTGGGCGGTCGGCTTTCTTGATACCACTGTCGAAACCAACGCAAGGCGCATGGCCCGCAGCTGGGAACGAACCCTGCATCCCGGCATTACGAAGCGTTCGCATCGACTTAGCCACAGAGCCGACAATGACAAACAACTAAACGGAAAATGCCTAGAAAACCCCACAGCAGCCAAAGAATGCTGTAGTGGGTTATGCAGCGTCATGTAAAGAATATGCAACTCACATTTAATGACCACATAACACTGGGGAGAACAAGCTATTGCTGTTCGTCCATCACCAGTCGTGAGGACCACTCTTTCATAAAAAATTATATTTTTGTCAGGAGATGGCTTATAAGCCCAGTACGGGCTGAAAAGGATCTAGGACAATGAAGGCACGGAACGGTATATGTGGGTAAAGGGCCTATTATACAGGTCTTTCTAGCCTTCCTGAGCTGTTCAGTTGCCCCCCCCCCCTGTTTTTTCTTGAAAACTCACAAATCAGGTAATCGCTGTGGCGTAGCGGCTAGACACTCGCATATGGATCGGAAGGTCGAGGTTTCGCCTGGACTTTTTTTTTTTTTAAATGACATGACTCTTAGGTCAATCCAGCCTTGAGTAGGTACAAAATGACATGACTCTTAGGTTAATCCAGCCTTGAGTAGGTACCGGGGGTTGTCCCGAGAAGTAAAGGCGGCCGTCGTGATTATGACCACTTTTCCCATCTTGTGCCAATACTGGTCTATAAAAATATAGGTCTAGCCCCATATACACTATGCGCCTGACGGCTTGGGAAAAGGGATTTTCACTTTTTTTTTCCAAAGTCAATGGCCCTGTTCGGACAGACGTTCTTTGTGTAGTCCGGTCGTGTGCAGCAACCTCCCAAGTGTCAGGGTCGATGATGCCCTCGTCGACCCACCCCCGCCCTATTTATCTAGCCACTATGAGAGGGTCTGCTATTTTCTGACTCGCCAAACATAATTAATTTTGGGAAGAACATGCAAACGTTGGTCTATTCAACCAACACTCCCCCCCCCCCCCCCCCCAAAAAAAAAAAAAAACCTAGAAAACCAGACTGAAACAACATCAACAAAGAAGAAAATAATATCTAATTTAGTCACTCTGTTGTTCTTGTGACGCTTCTGTATCTGTTATTTAGTTGTTTAATTTATGATATCACAGGCACTGGAAGTGTTCGAGTCCGATCAGCCCGGATACACTTCACGAGACATGCTGAAAGCTCGAGCTGAGGAAGTTGTGGCTAAAAACAAGAAAATCAAAGCACCGTAGAGGGGAGTAGAGGGGAAGGTGTGAGGGAGAGGATGTCTCTGGTTTATAGACATTGGGGATGTTGGCAAAAAAAAATGGTTGGATGATAGATAGATAGATAGATAGATAGATAGATAGATAGATAGATAGATAGATAGATAGATAGATAGATAGATAGATAGATAGATAGATAGATAGATAGATAGATAGATAGATAGATAGATAGATAGATAGATAGATAGATAGATAGATAGATAGATAGATAGATAGATAGATAGATAGATAGATAGATAGATAGATAGATAGATAGATAGATAGATAGATAGATAGATAGATAGATAGATAGATAGATAGATAGATAGATAGATAGATAGATAGATAGATAGATAGATAGATAGATAGATAGATAGATAGATAGATAGATAGATAGATAGATAGATAGATAGATAGATAGATAGATAGATAGATAGATAGATAGATAGATAGATAGATAGATAGATTAGATAGATAAATATAAAGTTGGAAAGGTATGTAGGTATATATGTATGCATATTGACATATAAGTAGTTAAGGGGTAAGTAGACATATAGAAGTGGGTATTCAGACTTCCGTGTTTAATGTTTTGATGAATCTTTGTTATGTTAGAAGATCTATTTAAATGTGGACGAATTTGTATTTGTCATCTGTGTGACATGCATCTAAATATATTATTACAAACACAGGAGTCTGAATGTAACTAAAATGGCCTGTGAACGAGAAAAAATGTGGTGGTCGCCCAAACATTTGGGAACTTTATTAAAGGATCGCGGCTTAAGGAAGTTTAATAGCCACTGCTGTAGACTTTTTGCCCTGTCTATCGGTCTTATTCAGGATATGATACGAAACTGAAATACTTCCGAAAACTAATGTCTCAGAAAAATTTTTTCCTTTTTTAAATGGAATGATTTGGAAACGAGTGAAGATGTCTGAGCAACCACTAGTATCAACGGTTATAAGGCAGATAAGATGGCGCTACAGTGAACATATCCTGAGGAGAAACCAGCAGAGGATCAGCAGAAAGGCATTTAAATGTCAAATAAAGGGATAAAGGAAGCGAGGATGCAGAACAGAAACCCTAAGACGAATGTCGATAAGAGAAGGCAAAGCTTCTGTACTGGATTCCATCCATGAAATTAAACTGACTGCAAAGGATAGAACGGAATGGAGGAATAGAGTGCGAGCTCTATGTAACATATAATGGCACAACAGGGTAATTAATGAATGAATTTGTTGTTACCCCAAAACCTCCGTTGAGCACTAAAGTCACATTAGAGTAGGATATCACACATTACATGCTCTTGTACTGCTTTCAGTCTCTGCCATTTATCTTTTTTTTTTTTCATCCACCTTGTGATTGCATGCATAGACGTTGACAATAGTGAGCTTCCCGGTCCCTTGTATATGTCATCATCGTCATGTGCGTTGCCGACTGGTGTGGCCAATCATGCCCCTCCACACTCTGCGATCTTCTCCCGCAGCATGTATCAGTTCGTGTGCCGACACACCTCCATGCCATGCAACAAGACTGTCAAGCATTTTCTCTCGTTGTCTTCCTCTATCTCTACTTCCACAGATCTTTCTAGTGGCTACAAGATGTTCCGTTTTCTCTCTTCTCATAACATGGCCGAAAAAGGATGACTGTCTCCTTCTGATGTCTCTGGAATGTGTACATCATGCAATTGTGTGCCGTCATTATTCCAAAGGTGTCTGTCAACCACCTTATCCCGGAAGCCCTTCCTGACCAAGATTACTAAATGTATTCTATTGTAAAAAGTAAAGATCTCTTTTCACGCCTTTAGGCGCGTCGGGCATATGGGAAGAGCAACCATATTTTTCACAGACCAATGGGCACTCGGTGGGTAATGTGGTCAGCATTACGCCGGCCGTCTTCGCTTCTCCAGGACAGCCATCCTGGTACCCATTTTAGGCTGGGTCGTCCTGTCATGTCCCATACCACGATAACAATCCAGGCAGCCAGCAGTGGGTTTCAAATGCGGTACTTTGGAATTACGAGTCGGACTCGCAACGCCTAAGCCACGGACGCCGCACGTATTCTTTTGAAGAAGTTATTAAACGCTGAGTGTCTAAGGGTGTCTGTGTCTCCTAATCAGGTCTGTTTTTCGACAATAAATGACCTTCGCTTCCAATGTGGTCCAGTCTTAAGTAAAGGCGGTCGGCGTGTTGCTGACCACAACACACTATAAGTGCCGAAAAGTGCATAAATTATAGGTCTAGCCCTATAGGTCCAAAACGCCTAATGTGACTGACCAGTCATCTGATAAACTGCCATGCCCTGAGGCACAAAGTTGATACTGACACTCACCCCCCCCCCCTCCCCCTCATCCCTCCACCCTTAAAAAATGCAGTTTTCTAGCAGATACTACCAGGGATGTGAAATATGAAGCCTTTCTATGTTTCAGGCCATGAAACAAGAAGCGAGTCCCAATGTCCTTCCCTATGACCTTTTTTTATAAATCAAAATATAACTGCAAACATTTGCTCACATTTTTGATACGTATATACAAATCATCGAAACAAACCGAAAAAATTTAAAAACATTTTATTATTCCACCCATTCATATTTGGAGTAATCTATGTAACCTCTTCGCAGGTGTGCATTATTTTTGTGATAAATTTCGTAAAAGCAATTGGGATGTGTATGTGTGTGTGTTTTTTCCCCTCTAATTTTTATAAAGTGATTCTGTAAAATTCGCACATTTCGCAATTTTAATTCGTTTCGCCTCTCAGTGTTGTCCATTTCCAACTTTGAAAAAAAAAAAATTTTTGTCAAGGGACAATCTTTATCAAGATTACCAAGTAAAATAAAAAGATCTTCCGGATAATACATCTGTCCACTGCGTCACAATTAGATGGCGGTTAGGTTGGGGAGGTTAACTCTTCGAGATAAATTAAGATCTTGCGCTCTGGTTATTTATCTTCCTGGGATAAATCCAAATTTATTTTTTTGAATTGCCGGCGATAGATTTTGTCGCGTTTGTTTCTCGTCTCTCTAGATTTCTCGTCGATTGATTTACCATATGAAATAGTGTATACAAATTTGTTATACGAGGATAGGAAAAAATGTTTTTAAACTGAATACGTATATGTCTTCCAGGCCCATTAACAGTCAGCAAGTTCTTTACAGAACGAGGCTGTTATCACGGAAAGCCTTGTCTTTCTTTATCCAATTCTCCAGCCTTAAACTCGTTCATGGAAGATCGGAATGTCGTGAGTTCTCTCCCTGGCGGTGCCGGACTTTTTTCAGAAATGACTTTGGCTGCCAGGTCGACCCAGCCTTGAGTGGGTACCGGGTGCCGTCCTGGAAAGTAAAGGCGGCCGGCGTGATGCTTACCACATCACCCATCTGGTGCTGATTTGTCTATAAAATATATGTCTAGCCCTATACGCCCTATGCGCCTAAGAACGTGGGAAAGGATCCCTCACTTACTTTTCTATACTCTCTTATGGTCGAAACATCTTCTTTGTCTTGTATCCACGGTCGCGGAGGTGTGCCTCTGTGTCGTTTTTTTCCAGAAGGTACACCCTCCAATACGGTTCTTTCCATAGGCCCATAACGTTTACACGATGTAGATAAAGACATAGGCAAATGAAGACTACATAAATCTATTTTCAGAAGAGGAAAAAAATTGGGTGAGCTAAAGCTTTTTGCGGATTATAAAATCTACTTTTTGTTATTTTGCACACATTATCTTTATTACTAGAGGAGCGGCTGGCCTATTGGTTACACCGTTGGGCACTCATGCAGGAGACCCGGGTTCGACCTCCAGTATGGTGATGGTGATGGTGATGGGAGACCTTGGCGACAACACTAAGCCGAGGTGCTCTAAATCCTCAAGCGCAAGCCCCCCGCCCCTTCCCCCCCCCCCTTTTTTGGGGGGGGGGGAAAGGGGGGGGGGGGGGGTTCTACACTGCCTTTAAAAAGTAGTAAAAGAGACATTTTTTTTCATCTTAATTAATTATTTCAATAAAAATTAAACAATATATTTCAATCAGCTATATTCATATAAAAGGCATACATATTTTGACGTTCTCTCAGATTTGCTGGCCTGGGGACTGTTTAAGGCTTAGGGTCTCATCAAGTCTAAATCCGTTCCTTGTGTTTAATTAACATGACCAAAATACCTCAGATTTCGGCACATGATGCTGATTATGGGCCAAACTAGCGTACTCTGACGGTAGATACTGGGCACCCATGAGTGGCAGAGTCTTGGGGCATCAGGCTCCTGGAGTTTCCTTTCTAAACACTCTTTAGTCAAACGGGCTGACTCAGCTCCATCAATAATATTTTTTATGAGCTGAGGCGTCTAGTCCCCACCCCCCCCCCCCTTCCCCCATAATTTCGGAATTGAGCTGTGAAACACCTTAATCATGTATAGGTAGGTGTTCTCTTTTTTAAGTATGTGTTTCTTTGTTTCATAGTTTTATTTCAAAAACATCATTATATTCTAACATAACGATTATTATTACTGCGCATTTAAATAATGCCTAACTTTTAAAGTATCAATCAACTCACAAACGTGTCTTTGTTATTTCAAAGATACTACAATAGTGTGCTGTCTTCTTCCACAGATGTGTTATATTGCCTCCTTGTATATAAATTCTGTCCCATAGTACCCATAGGCCGGCTCACTAATCAGAGGAAAGGCAAGACGGCCTTACAGCCGTATTGTATCCGCTACCATCAGGATTGAAACTCTGCGGTGGCTGCTGAAAATGAGGACAGAGTACGCATGGGAATGCCCTGAGTGATGTATTGACAATTCTTGTCTCAACTCAACCCAGATGTCATCATCATCATCATCATAAACCACTTCTGCCGTTAAGCGGCGTGGGGAGGAATAATTTGCGTTCCAGTGCACGTTGGCTGCCACTGGCTATTGTCATGCCTTGAAGGCGTAGAGTGTCTTTAATGTTGTCGATCCACTTTTCCGCGGCCGTCCTCTTGCTCTTGTAGTTGATTT